ACAATTCATCGAAATGATTTTTAGGTCAGCCATACTATTTTATTAGAAGATGCAATCGCTCTTGTGGGCACGCACGCCGACGATCGTGTGAGTGTGTAGGTGTGTGCGTGTGTGTAGGTGTGTGCGTGTGCGTGTGCGTCCGCGTGCGCGTGCGTGTGGGCGTGTACGTGTGTGCGTCTGGGAGCCCCCACCCTCCCCACCCCAGATAACCATGAGCCAACGACCAAAACGAGCAATTAACAGCGCAACACCGGACTGGGCGACCGGCGGAACGCCGGGCGGCGATCGCCTTTTCACTTAACCTAATGATATCGTTACCAAACCATTCAGGTGTGTTTGTTAACGTATGCAACGATAAGACAAACTATTGAACACTAAGATCACGTTTAGCGAAAGTACTAGTGAAGTCTCGCGGTGGAGGCTCCGGCAGGACTCACCGACCGACGCAAGGCGGCGCCACCGCAGCCGCCGGCGGCCGGGCCGAGCCGCGGCCGAGTCCGACGTGTAGAAGGCGCCCGCGCCGTAGCCAGCCCGGCCGCCGGCGCCAGCAGAGCCGCGCCACCAGACGCCAGCCGGGAGCCACCAACAATGAGGACGTACTATTTGTCTGCAAAAGACATTCATATATTAACATAACAGCACTAATTATGAGGGCAACAACAAACACAGGAGCGCGTATTCTAACTGCTGAGACTCTTATCGATGTAGTTACGAATTTAGGAAGCCTGCCGATACAAACACTTGGCAATTAGATCATTATGCACATTGGAAGCAAAACAAAAAGTGACAGAACTTATCGACCGGCGCCAGTCGCGCCGCCGCAGCCGCCAGCGGCCGGGCCGATCGGGCCATGTCGTCATCAATTCGGGACCCACGGCCGGCCCCCCGACGACAGCAACGCGCTCCGACCAGCGCCGGTACAGCTGGAGGCGCCGAGAGCGGAGACGCACGTCAAATCGCAACAGTCATACGTTACCGGGTTCGGCGCTCCCCACGTGCTATCCAGGCTGTCCACCTGCAGCGGGCGAAACCGCCACCGGAGCACCGGAGGCCCCGCTCGACGGCTCGACGCGGGCGGCCGCCTCCGACGACTCCGGCCGTCCTGGGGCCCCACCGGCGGCGCACGGCCGCGGTTCCGACCCCTGGCCGCCCGCTGAAGCGGTCACTGTCGGTCCGCGTGGCACCAAGTCCTCATCCGCGCCCCCGGGAGGCCGAACACTCAGCCCAGACCGACCAGCCGCCGCCGACGCGGGCGACGACGCTCCGGGGTCGCCGGGCCGGGGCGGCAGCGGCGGGGCCGGACGCTCCGACGAAGCAGGACCGTCGCCGCCGCCGATGATCCTCCGCAGGCTCTTCAGATCTCGGACCATGATGTTGGCGCCTCCTCTTTCGCGCCGGCAGTAGACGACGCCCCTGCGGCTGAACACCGACGCGACGCGAGTCCCGCCGCTCCGCTTGCGCACCTCCAGAAGTTCGTTGTAGATCGCTCGGTTTGTTGGCGTGAGGCTCTCGTTGATATAGAGAGGCGCCGGTCCCCCTCCGCCGGCAGCGTCGCGGGCACCCGCGCGGGGGCCCCCGACGCGACGGGCCAGCTCGAACACCTCGTCGCGGGCCTGTCGTACACCTCGTCGCGGACCCGCCGCTTCACAAACCGAACGATGACTTTAGAGTCTTTTTGCAGACGGTGTGCTGCTTGTATGTCGGCTGTCGACAGCTTAAGATCTCCAAACCGGCGGTTTAGTAGACCGACGACTCGCTCCTCTATGTCCTCGTTTGAATGGCGTGCCTCGAACTCTGTGCACGTTAAGATCAACGAAGACAGTCGACGGTTCATGTCTATGCCTTCGATCTGGTTTTTCAGCTCGCCGTTAGCTTTCGTTTGCATTTCTAGCTGTTCTCGTAGTTTTTTCGTCTCCAATTCCCTGTCCATGTTCTCGCTCTCCAGGATGGATATTCTCTTCTCCAGCTGTTCACATCTAACTTCGAATTGTTGGATGACTTTTGTCATACTTGCCTCAACCAGCTGTTGAATAGCAGCCAGTGACGCCGCGTTGAGCTCCACCCCGTCGGTCGGCACGGCGGCAGGCCGCACCGCCCCGGGCGGGGACGCGCTGACCTGGCCCGGCGAGGGAGAGCCACGGCTCGGGGCTTGCCGCTTGGCTTTACGGCCCTCGGCACGACGAACCATCTCGTCGACTGGTATCTGCCGTTTCCGTCGTGTGCCTCCTCCTTCGGTACCGGACGCTGTGCAGTCCGTGAATGGCGTGTCCTCAGCACTGTCAGTGTCCGTTGCCATTCCGATCGCAACAGGCCGTCACAAACACTGGAGAAAGATTTAGGACAGGAAAAAATCACCAGCCAAGCAAAGTACTTATCCACGTCACTGCATTCGCTCGCACTGGATATCAATCACCGCCGCCCGGCCGCCACTGCGCACTCACTCTGCCCGCATAACCGGAGCTCGGGGCGAGCGACCCGACCCTCTCGGCGGCCGCGGCCCAACTCAACCTGACCCAACTTTTGCATGGGCTATCCAACACCGTTTGCCGCTTGTCGCTACGTTGCGTGGTTCTCGAGATCTTAGGGGGGGGGCAAAATGCCCCCCCCCCCCCCAACGGGGCGCGTTGCTCGGCAGAGCCCAACGGGGCGCGGGTTAAGGGGGGGGGGGGGGTGACTGGTGAGCACTGCTGACTTTTGGTCCCTTTCTTTCCATGCAACGCCCAATGGGGCTAATGTTAAAAGGTCGAAATCAAGGGGGCCACGGTGGCCCGGTGCCCCCCCCCCCCCCCGGTCCGCCGCCTATGAACGTCAACGACTTGTCTATAGCTGGGGCATAAACGACCGGGAAAAAGAACTGGCGCCTGGCGGATTAGGTGTGTAAGGGAAGGTGGGGTAAGGTGGACCAGCGAAAGCTTGAAGTCGCATGCCTATCATGCTTGATGCTTCACTGCTATTGAAGCTCATAGGTAGTGTTTATATAGTCTTCTGAAATATAGGGGAGAGCGGGGCCAGTTGAAACACGGGGTCAGATGAAACATGGCTTTATTTTCAACAGTATGCAACATATGGCGTTGCCGACACCACTGCGCATCCGCGCTCGACCACTTCCTTTGTCAACGGCGTTTGGGCGGCAAACGGACGGTAATTTTGATTTGACACTTGTTTTTGTGTTTTTGAGGGGCGTTTGGGAGAAATCGTTTTTATGAATATTTTGTGATATCTCATATACCTTTGTTTGCTGAAAGAAGAACTCCTGGCTCCGGAATAACACCTTATTTGGCCCTTCATTCAGCATGATGCCGTCCCTCCAGCTCGTTTGACATGTGCTTTACGGCGCGTGCGAGATGGCGGGAGCGGATGGGGTCAATTGAAACGCTTCTCTGAGGGTCAGTTGAAACAGGGCCACAGGCCGTTTCAATGGACCCCGGTGACCTTTGCAATGGTTATTGTTCAGGGGCTGTAAACATTAAAGGAAATAGTCCACCTTTGAAATGAGCTTTTAAACTGAAATAGTAGTTTAATAGAGCTTAATTTTTTACCCCTTTTTCCCCCGCATTTTGCTTGAAAGCACACTATAGCCTGATATATTTCTCATTTTCCTCATCCGCCCATTTTACCATAGTCTATGTACTTTATGTCACCTATTATGAGGAACTTTGCACTTTTAGCTTTCAAACGACCTATTGAATGTAGCATTTGGAAAAGTAAACCGGACAAAATATCACCTTAAGAAAGTGGCCTTAAACAGGAAAACATCCCATTGTTAAGGATAGGTGCAATTGACCCCATGGGCTGGTTCAATTGACCCTCGCATCGGGGTCATTTGAAACGGGCGTAGAGCTGTTTTATAAGCATGCGTTTGGCAGCAAAATATGTTTGAAACATAATTTTACATATCTTAAAATAAAGCCAAAAGAGCATATTTTTTCATGGCATTGTGCATTTTTCGATATGTCAACTAGATCTCGCTGTGCATGTCAATATATGAAAAGTGGTTCAACTGGCCCCGCTCTCCCCTACCTAGTGTTCCTTAAACAGGAACTCTCGGTTTTCCACGAATAACTCGCGTAAAAAGCGGCCAATCGCGAAGAAACTGTTAGTACCCTCGCTGAGTCGCGTTAATCGATTTTACACCTCCCCTAAAACATTCCATGACCCTGACCCAAATGACCTTTGACCTGCGAGTTGTGACCTACTTTCGAGACCATCTTTGGTCGGAATCGCGATTCGGCGTACCTATGTCGGCTCGCATTAGCCGCGTGTTAGCAGTCTTTTCGTGGTTTCAAGCGATCAAATATGTGATATGATGTTGGTCCCATGCATTAGGGTGGGTGTCGAGGTCACCTGAAGGTCAGGTCAGGTCATTGACCTTTGCTGACCTCGGTTCACTTTTTCGAGGTTTACATGTTTCTAGGCTAGTATTTTAGCTGAATTCGAATTAAGCAACCATTTGAATATTTATGAAGTAGTTTTGGTGCCTTATAACGAAAGCTGTCAGAGGCGAATGACACGTGCTACGAATGCCCGGCAGGACCCCTACTGGTTGACCTGACCTGACCTGACCCGACCGACCTGGCCTAAATGCAAGAAGACATCATCTGTGATCAAAACAAACATGATATTCGTGATTAGCACCCTGAAGAATCTCACAGCAGCCACACTTTACGACTTTCTAACAGGTCCCGATTTTCCCGACTTTTGGGTTATTGACCTGACCAAGGTCAACCGGACTTAGGACCTTAAAATTTAGCATCATCGGCTTCCTCTTGTCACGGGCAACACGTTCGTTTTTTCCACGAAGCTCTAGCTCAATCAGGGGCGAAACGGCAAGGGGGAGGGGGCAACGGACCCCCCCCCCCCCTTATCCGTTCGCGGCTGGCAAAACACCACTACGGGCGAGGGTTAAAAAAACGTACGATTTTACTATTGACGGTTTGAACATAAGGTTAATGATGCATTTGTAGGTAACTATATCTCGTTATTCGCATAGCAAAACGCAGTTTTATCGAGTTCAGCGTTGATAAGTTATATTTTGTTTGTTCACTCAGTCAGTCGTGCGTTCAACATGCTCACTACACAATGGTCAATTAAGGGTAGCATCCTGTGCTCACTTTCATCCATGTCGCCATTAACTGATCATGCCGCTAAGTTAAAATGCCTAAGCTGTCCAAAGATGCATGGCTAATAAAGCATTTGAATTATATGCAGAAACCGAATAACAGCTTCTATATGCATACTCAATAGCAATGATCTCACAAAATGCCTATTTGCAAGTGAATGGTAAAACAAGACACAACCTAGATAGGTATCGTTACAAGCGAACAAAATACCTTATTGAACATTCATACCATTACGCCACTACCATACATTTTGATATGTGTGATGCCAATATCGTTCGACAATTTTCCAAGGTAACACAACGATGTCAAAACACTGTCATGCCCAATTATTCCGCGTCTTACAGCAAGCGACACACTCATTCCGTACAGCAAACAATTGCCCGTCTAAGCTACACCATAATATCACATTATTCCGGTGCTCACTACAATATAATGAGCCGGCCAGAACAACTAATATTGTACGTTGAAGGCCCGCGACTCCTTTATCGCGAGCAGCGGGGTCGCGTTTTAGGGGTCAGCGCGACTGTTGCAGAGCCACGGTGCAATTAAAGGGACCCTCCCACCTTAACATTAGTTTTGAGTTGAGATAGCCAAGTTTGCGGCCAGGCTCAGAAACCACCATTTATCCTGGTCGCAACCCCCGCAGCTTTATGGTATTCAAGAAATTTCTTCCCTTTACTTGCAGGGTGGGACCAGCTTGGTCCCTATCTCTTAACCATTACGGGAATCTGATGACGTCATCAGGCTTTCGAACGTCCGTCATTAAGTTTGACTAAAACGTTTTGTAGCACGCGGTGGTATATGCTATTTGCGCGCAACATCTGCCGCAAACGCCGCACTTCTAAAATAAAGTCGCTAGAAACAGCGGAGATCCCAAAAAGTAAACAAAAGTAAAAGTCTAATATCTTGAAAACCGGTGAATATTTTTCGGTGAAATTTGGTAGATATTCGTTTTCGCTCTTTCTGAACCGAGCGACATCACTTTCATGCCAATTCATAAACTTTTTTGAAGGTGGGAGGGTCCCTTTAAGAAAGAAGAGAAGCGATATACAATCTCGTAACATCCATGGCATTTCGGAAAGCAGAACAAACATTTGAGCGACTAGGGTGGTCACACTATAAGGAGGTCAATAACTTAAGGCGCTCCGATGATTAAAGGTCAGAGTTCATTTGGCCCGAAAACGAAGAAGGAGGGAACAAGCGGGAAGAGTAAGCAGTCGCTGATAAGTGATGCCTAATTAGATACAGAGCATGAACAGTGAATGTCTTCCTCTTCATGGGCTTGAAAATGTTGAAGTTAACATACCTACCTAGGCATACCTAGGACACGTATAACAATAAGCCCACGACAGCAAAGTCGATTGGTTAAAAATATAACCAAGTGTTAATCAAAAGATAAAGATAAATAGACAAGTTGACAAGACAAGTGATAAGCATCGGTTCCATTGGCAATGTCGCATAAGCTCGAGGGAAAACGTAACGGAGGCGGTTTGTAAAGGCACCAGAGACTTCCACATGTTCTAAGGCTCGTGTCCAAACGGGCGACATTCGCAAATGCACGGCGACAGCACCAACAGACAACAACGTAACGCTTCCGGCCGGCCACTGGAGGGCTCTTCGCCACAGCCACGTCACGATTGTCATTCTGGCCAACCTGAGATCGGGCAGTGTGTCACTACTGCCGCAGTTTTGGAGCACCGTGCGGCTACTGGTCACCAGTTCACCAGTAAGGGTTCTATGACCTGGCCGGTCACCAGTAATGGTTCAGTGACCCGGCAGGTCACCAGTAGGGGTAGGGCGGCCGGTTGTAGGCCGGCAGGCTGGCGATGGAGGCCACCACGGAGGTGGGCACGCCGGGCACGCCCGGTACGCCAGGCGGGAACGGCAGCAGCTCGTGACCGGGGTAGGGCGCCGGCGGGCCGTACCCGGCGGCCGGCGCCGGTGGCAGCGACTTGCCGTCCCGCACCAGCACAGGCACGGCCACGCGGCGCGCCGCCGACGGCAACGGCAGCAGCTCGTGACCCTGCTCCTGGGTGGCGCGCTTGGTCTTGTAGCGGTGGTTCTGGAACCAGATCTTCACCTGGGTGGGCGTCAGGTCGATCAGGTTGGCCAGGTTCTCCCGCTCGGGCGCGGACAGGTAGCGCTGCTGCCGGAACCGGCGCTCCAGCTCGTACGTCTGCGTCTTGCTGAAGAGGACGCGCCGCTTGCGCTTCCGTCCGCCGCTTTCCTTCTCGTCGGCCTCGTCGGCGTCCTCGGAGGGCGAGGCGCGAGACGTCGGCACCGTCGCGGGGATGTCGGAGAGCCGCGCGGGCGTGCTCGACGTCCGCTCGTCAGTCGGAGAGCGCGGCGGCGAGCCCGGAGAGTCGCCCTCGACCTTCGGGGCGACCGCCGGCTCCACGGGCTCTGCTGTGGAACACAGAGAGGTAGACCGTCAAACATTGAGAGCTTTTTGAATGGGTTGCGAGGAGCGCACACGGTGATGTTGCTAATCGCTAATAAACGGGAGTAAACAATATTCTGCACACCAAAACTGACAACTCATAGGTCCGTAAGTTTTACATTAAATTCTATCAATGAGGGCGCATTTGCCAGATGCATTTGACTGAAGTATTTCGGCGAAACTGTAGCCCACTGGTCACCTTGATTGCAAATATGTATCAGGTATCTACATCTTTGCGCAGGACCTGGCAGAATTTGTCAGATACTGCTCTCCAGCCCCATTAGATACTCAGCAATCTTCCTGTAGTCACGTTGGCCAGCGACACAGTGGCGGATCAGAAAATGATGTGGGATCAACGGAGCAGCTCAGTGTGTCATATTAATTTGATGTTCTCACACCCTGTAAAACCTCATTACCATTGTTGAATGCTGTTCACCATGTATCGAACGAGCGTCTGTGTATGCTCCGTATGCTGCATGTTGAGAATTCGTAAATGTAATAACATATGGGCTGTTCAATGACGGAAAACTTTTGATTCGAAATAAATGCTTATAGGATATAATATAAAACAGAGGATTTATTGCAAAACGTTTAAAGTTTTTTGACAGTTTCTAGATCAGAGTACTTATTTTGGGATGCAGTATTTATTTAAAAGAAAATTTGTGTACCTATTTAACGAATTATTTCCCACTGACCTGGGTACCGCACGGGTGCGGGCTCGGTACCCCACTGACCTGGGTACACGGGTGTGGCCTCGGTACCCCACTGACCTGGGTACACGGGCGCGGCCTCGGCGGCTGGCCAGCGCGGCTCGTAGTACTCGGCGCGGTACCCGCCGGCCGGCTGACGGTACTCGTACCCCTCCTCCGGGTACGGGTACGCCGCCGGGTACAGGGCACCGCCGTACTCCTCCGCCACCATGCCCACTAGAACACAGCGCGGTCATGCTGCATGCGCGCCGAGAGCGGGCCGAGATAGGGGCGAGAGCGGGCCGAGATAGGGCCGAGAGCGGGCCGAGAGCGGGCCGAGAGCGGGCCGAGAGTGGGGCGAGGTAGGGGCGAGATAGGGCCGAGAGCGGGCCGAGAGTGGGCCGAGAGCGGGCCGAGAGTGGGACAGGGTGTGTTGTGGATGGCCTTCACCGAGCTGGGACATGATCTTAGATGAGGGTAGGAGATTTAGGAGGGAATTTGGCGTGAGGTGGAGAACAGAGGCTTTGGGAACGATCGGCGCCATGCAGACTCAGGTGTACTCGGATATTTAGGAGTTGAAGCTCATTAGGTTCATCAGGAGTCAAGCGGTTACGGGTTAGGTATCAGGACACCTTTAACAGCAATCAAAGCAATTAGTGCAATTAATTAATTGGGTGCCAACTGCCATCAAAGCGAGTCCACCACCAAAGGCTTCAAATTTTACTGCAAAGTGCTACTAAACATGCAGAGAAAGTCAAAACAAAAGGCATGCACTAAACCGAATCATGATTTTACCTTGCACCAAAAGCGAGACTTATAATGTGAAAGTTATTGAGGCATGTTATTTCTTTGATAGCTGAATGCTGATCCCCCCTCCGCCACCTGCGTTAGCCCACCCTCACACACGGTGAGGTCCCGGCCCCTCTCTGACCTTCTCCGGGAGGCCGCGGGGTGTGAGCGCCCATCGGAGGCGGCTTCACCTCGCCCAGGTTCAATATGTCACGCACACTGAAACTCGACGTTTTCGAGCCGGACATTGTCATTTTCATGTCAAACTGCCTGGAAAGCGAGAGACGAACAGTTCATTCTCCATGCACCCTGACGAACAGGGAGGTAGGAACGGTGTTTACAAACAAACGAACTGGCAAACAACACACAAAACCCCTCGCTCTGTTAATGGAGACAGGAAAAGCTTCAGATTATAAGTGGATAAAAATACAATTTATTAGTGGCTTAGGAAAACCGAAGCTTAGACACTGTTACAGAAACTAGAGATGCCCATGAACATAAAAACTAAACCAAGAGCGTTCTGTGCTGAAGTGCTAAAAGTACGGGAATTAGACGTATACTCCAAGAATGAAAACCAATGCCAAAAATCAACACCTAACAATGCCAACCGTTATATCAAATAACCAAAAGTGAAGCCACTACAGATACAGACACAAACACAGATACAGATGAGCATACATAGATGCATGCACCATGCATGAGACATCCACACCATGCGTATAACAATGCAGCATGCCGACATGCAAAACTAATGCCCAGTAGGTTCCAAGCAATTGCACACACTTTAACAAATGTTGACATTCCAATCTACACATTTGCCTAACTCATGGCGGGCATACATGTGGAGCGCCCATTCCGTACAGGATAAAAAAGTAAATGCATCATTTGAGCTTCAACCTGAGAGGATAGGCATGTATGTATACCTACGTTTTAGATGAATGATGGTTAAATAATTGCACAACCAATTACACCATTCACGTCCAAGGAAAGGCCATTCCGATTGTTGTACTAGTCAATCAAGAGCATCTGAGTAGGTAGCTAAATCTGATGTCATCCTTTATGACGGGGCTAAAAAGTGAGAAGAGCAAAGCATGCAACCCACTTCAACACAAATGCACCGCAAACTCCCTTATCATTTCCGCAACAGCCGAGAATGGAGTCTCTCGTTGAGAGAAGTTTACACATCAGAAAAAGAGGAGTCGATAATTGAGCAAACGAACCACGGGAAGGCATAAGTAGGTACACAATAGACAGTCTTTTGTAGGAAATAGTCTAAAAAAGAATCAAGATAGAGCAGCTGGGCAAGCTGGGTATCACGTGAACTCAGTCCGTGTTGCTTTATTCTTACCGAGCCTCTTAGCCTTTCTTGAACTTCCAAACAACGAAGCACTAAAAACGTCGTTAGTAAAGATGTGTGTCCCGACTCTCGACTCTCGAGTATCCGCTCTTGACTCTCAGGTGCCGACCCTCGAGTCACGACTCTCAGGTGCCGACCCTCGAGTCACGACTCTCAGACACCGACTCCCGACCCGCGTCACTTCTCTCACAAACTGCCGGACTCTTCTCCGCCACCTCTCAGCCTCTCTATCTCCTCTCTCAGCCCCTCTACCCTCTCGTCTCAGTCTCGAGAGGAGCTGCTTGGCAGCCGAGTGGGCGCCACTCGGCCGGGGGGCGGGGCCTGCCGCCGGACCGACCAATCACAGCGCCGCAATTCTCCGGAAGCGGAGAGAGAGCCGCGGGAGAGAGGATGCAGCTAGAATGGAGGCAGGCTGAGCCTCTAAAAGGTGGGAGGCCGAGTGGCCAAGGCCGGCTGAGGCTCTCAGGTGGGAGGTCGAGTGGCCGGTAGCTCTAATATCAACTTCTGATATTAATGATCAGTGTCATTCATTTATCATTAGGCCGTAAGTTTTGTTAGAACATTGTAATGAATCCGATGAGCCGTTTAAACCAAAATGAATGAACCGATGAACAGTAGCGGCGGAACACCTTCAATTAAGGGGGGCACTGCCGACTTTTGGTCCCATTCCTTCCATGCAACACCCATAGGTCTAATGTTGAAATGCCAAAATCAAGGGGGCACGGTGCCTCGGTGCCCCCCCCCCCCGTTCCGCCGCCTATGCCGATGAACCAAAATTATTTATTGAAAGAACGGGTAACTTTGCTATCGCCGGTTCTGCCAATTGCCAATATCTTTGAGAGTGGTAGCTGATAGGTTCCACATGCAGGACGTAGTTTAACTGTAGTCTTAAATTCAATTCATCAATGCAATTTTTAAGTTTTTACGTGCCATCAACAATGTTTCTTTTTCCGTAGATAATCTGGTGCATGAAATAGGCATTATTTCAACGGTTCATTAATGAGACGAGGAAACAGATACCAAATAAATGTAAGCAGTTCGCATTCCTCCCAAAAATGGTAGGTATATAGCGTATAGCACATGCGCCGCACGACCGGCGGCTGGACGGTGCTATTCTCCTGTGCTCCATTGGAGTCTCCGGCTGCGTCCCAGGTGTGTGCCGCTAAACCTCTCCGCGTGGCGTGGCGGCACCACCTAGGAACTCGTCACAACTTCATTGGCCCATTCTCCGCCACCAGCGCACACAGCTGGTCAATTAATACGAACACCCCGTCCCATTGTGAGCACCCAGCTGGCGAATTCCGTCATTAGTCGCCAGTTCATGTCCTTCACTGCCTCACTGCCGCATTACTACGGCCGAAATCCCGCCCGCTTCACACCTAATCCCGGTGCTTATAACACGCGGTCCTTGTGATGTCAACTGGCGTATTATCGGTAAAGCTTGCTGCTCGACGAGCACTCATTTATGGACTGGTGAGATTGTGTGCGGGCGAGAGCGGTGGCTCGCGAAATCAGAGAAAACACGCCGGGAATGCGATAGAGCCGTTATACCGAGAGGGGTCCTGTGGATGGCTCGAAGGAATGCTGTTTGGGCAATGGTACAAGCAAGGAGTAGAGGTGGTGTGGTCATACATGCGAGATGGTGTGGCTACTGCTTGGTATCTATCAATTTCACTCGTTCACCGTAAAAGAAGGTCACATTTTTATAGACGGTAGGTACACGATTTGTCAGTATTATCATTCACGGAAGGTGACGATTTCTAACGGGAGAATGTTCATTTTATAAGCAGATTTTGGATTTAACTTCAAGTGTGGACTGGATACCTAATGATGAAGATGCAGTTTCAACAGGGATACTTCTGCCGAGTCCCTTATCCGTTGCCGAAATGGAAGAAATTGCGAGCTACAACATATCCGTAGCCGAGCTGATCAATCGAAGGCTAAACCTGGGTTGCGAGTTAGGGGTCGGACAACTCTCTAAGTCAGCTCAGGCACCACCTTTGCTGCCTGAACCACAAAGTTGGAGAGGTTGGAGAAGTTTCCTCAGCTAGATCTAGGGTTGAGTGAACAGTGACAGCCGTCTGGGCTCTGCCGCCACAGCCCGGTCAGGGGCGGGATTAGAGCTCACCGGTCCTGCCCGGCTGCTGGAGCGCCCCGGCACCGTGAGCCGCGCCCACAGCTCTCTGTGAGCGCGCCGCCGCCCGCCCCCGCCCCGCGCGGCACGTCATTTACAGGCCATTCACAAAGTCAATCATCATTAGGATCAGAGTAAAAGCGCGCCAAGGCCGTGCAGTGGAAAAACAGCGGCCCACCGGGGCAGGGACGGGTGAGGGAGAGCGATGAATAAGGAAGGGAGAAGTGGCGATAAAAGTGGCGACAAAAGTGGCCGGGTCGGTGGTGGGCGGGTTATGAGCCACAGCTGGGACCAGTATAGCCGCACACCTGGTGGATACCTATACAAAGTGAAATTTAACGGCCCTTGACTGCCTATACCTTTGAAATTTAACGGCTTTGAAAGAAATGGTAGGATCTCGGCCAATGACTTCGTAAAAGGAAAATTGGTAACTAGTTATTTGACATACAGCGCGTTTCGAATGAATTACGGAATGGACATCGATGTGCTTGATTTCTCGAACGGAACCATCAAGATTGACCTCGCAATGAACGAGTCACTTATTCCCATACGATTACCATAGTATCATTGTGCCCTATCATAAGGCAAACATTTGCCAAAGCCGAGTTCCTCACATTCAATCTCGGTTGTATTCTGATGTGGGCGATACGGGCCCATCTCTCCGTTCACCCAACAATGGCGGCCGTCTCGTGCTAATGGGCCCGTCCGGTCGGCCGTCACGGACAGGACAGGCTGCAGGCCGCTCCTCCAACCCACCTCGTCTTCTCACGGAGCTTAGACGGGAGAGGCGAACGGACCGTCTCGGGCGGGACCGGCGCGTCTCTCAGGTCACAGCGACGAACGTGACCGCTCTGAATGCCGAGAGGAGGCGCCGGTGATTCACGAGACGCCGAGTCGTCCCGTGTCGTTTATCAGGATTGGTGTCGTCCTAGAGGGTCGCACTGAAGGAGGGAAGTGCCAGAAAAGGCAGCCGGTATTTGTAGCCAGTGAGCCCGTTTATGGCGGATTTCGGAGGCTAATGGCGTTTATAGCAGCTTTTCTGGGTAGATAGTACAGTAGGATTCGGATGGGAGTGAAATGTTTTCGGGGCACGGTAAGCCGCCGGAACTCGTAGCCGTCTAGAGGTGAAAATATTTCACTAAAATCAGCGCAGGTAGCTTGTTCATGTCCAAATCCAACGTATCGAAACATCGGAAGGATTGAGATGAGTGCACTTATGCAGCATACAGGAATAAATGAAAAGGTGAATAGACAATGAGATGAATGAAAATTAAGCCATGGAGGGCTCAAAGAATGAAATGCGTAACGGCTGTAAAAAAGGACTTTGAAGAAGCACAGAGAAGCCCATGAAAACTCGGCGTTTAGCGCTCACCTGCCTCAAAAGCCCTTTAACAGTCAAAGGCTCACCACTCTTTTCTCCCGTTTCCGAACAAAATCCACAATTTGTAGCGGGCAAAAAGCGGTCCCCATTCACTCCCGTGCGGCTTCCGGCGGCAGCTCGCGGTCCATTGAGGAGCCGGCGGCGGCCGGTCGGCAGCTCGCGGCAGTCGGCCGCCGTCAAAGGGTCGATTTGTCAGTCGCGCCGGGCCGCGGACAGACTACCGACCCGGCACACCGAACTGGAACCAACCCGGTGATGTATCACAGGACGTGACCAGGCGACTCGGCGTCCGGCTTCCTGACGTTCCGCCGCCGACCGCTTCAGACGGGTGACAGAGGGCTCCCTCCGGCTCCTCCTTTCTGAGCTGCTCGCCTCACTTCTGGATCCTCTCTCTTTCCTCCCTTACTCACCTCTCTCGACCTTTTGGACCGCTCCTTTCCTTTTGCTTGCCTCTTCCTTTCCTCTCCTCCCTCTTCACTTCTCATTATCTTCTTGCTTCTTTATCATATCTATTTTCTGTTCAGCTCTTTTCTCTTCTCGAAGTTTTCTCCTTTATACCTTCTTTACAAATTTAAGCAAAGTTTCTTTATTGCGAGTCAACGCTTGACTTTCTTCGTTAGTCTTCATATATAGGTAGGTCCTTCTCTGATCTCCTACCCTCTCTCTCCCCTTCACCCTCTCTCTACGCACGTCGTCTCTCCTGCTGCTCCACTGTCAACAGTCGCTCGGCGGTAGGTCTCCCCGACTTCACTGGGCGCCCGCCACTGTGTCCACTGTCCGCTGTTCGGCGCAATGGCATATTGCCGGCTCACTTCGTGGGAGGCCGAAGGATTAACTCGGTGAGAAACAGCTTAGTCGGCCCATGGGAGGATTGGAGCGCTGAAGTTGTTTCCGGCCACCCTCGGAGCCGCTTTCATGGCGCGGCGAGAGCGCAAACAAAACGCCTTTCGAGGCGGACGGTAAGTCAGAGCTGACCCAGCTATTTAGTTGGCGCTTCTCGAAGGTTAGATAACGAGGGATGTTCTTACGAGTAATTTTGCCTAACTCGCTGATAAACGATTCGCTCAGGTATGCTCGTTCCGGCTGTTTTTCCAGTGAAATGGCACCACATTGAGAACACGTGTTCTCGTGTAACATCATCGATCAACCCTGCAGAGGCCACTCACCAGCCTCCGCGTCGACAAATCGCCAATTGAGACGCGCCTAACTGTGCCCACCAGTGTGTCGAGGACGCGGCACCTTTCCTCGGGTCCTTGTTGGACGTCCTTTGGCGGCCGATCAAAGACCAGCCGCCCCCATTGACCAGCGCTGCGGTCTGCCGCCGGGTCCGGGGGTAATCCTTCCGGCGCGCACGGGCAGACGGCTGGGCGGCGGCGGCCCCCCGGCTGACGGCACGACCACCGCTCGGTCCGTCGGCCTTTGTTACTGCTCGGGCGGTACTCTGTGCCGTTTGGGGCTATTCAGGAGGCTCCGAACGGCCTCCGAACAGACCGCGAAGGGCTCGACCCGAGCACAGAGCGCGCGCCGCCGCGCCGCCGCTGGACTCGGTCAGCTGAAGGAGGGACACGTGGACAGGTGGCTGAGGGGGCAGTGAGAGGGACAGGAGGGACAGACAGCCTGCCGCCGAGGGATCGGCGGGTCGGCGGGTCAGCGGGTTAACCGGACACTGGCTGGTCTGACCATGGGTGAAGTATTCCTTACGGAATGCCTCATCGATGGTCTACCTACTATGGTCTACCGTAGTTCTTAGTCATATATGGTTGGCCGTTGGCTGAGTCGACTTTCATGGCACAATCGATTGGCGACTTTTGACTGTTTGGCTCTTGAGAGGGGATATTATACTTACGAATGGTTGCAGGTTATTGATAAGCCAAAAATGCAAGTCACTGTGGTAGTTTAAACTTGTTTATACCTTTTGGTGGGCCTTTGAAGGTTGCTTGCATGAAAGCATTATGTTGTGGTGCTGATATTATCCGTTTTCACGACGGACATCTGCAGTACACATTTGGTGCACATCTGGTACAGATTAGGTGCAGACTTGGCCAAATCAGGTTCAGTGTGTCTCTTAGCAGCTATCAGCTAGGGTTACACTAATTGCTTATATGCCTGCTTTGTCGTATTATCAGAGAGCATAACCGATTAAACACTGAAATGAATTCATAAAATAAAGATATTTGCTATAAAAGAGATTAGGTGCAGATTTGGTCAAATCAGGTGCACTCGCCGCATAGCCCGTTGTGAAAACGGCTATTTAGAAGATGCTCCTTTTTTGCATTTCCCAAATAATTGGAAGCAGTACCCAGACCACAATACAATAAATTTCGTCAGCGAGCACATCACTTATCACGTGACTCGTCACTTGTTTTCGGACACGTGACCAAAAACGATTTTAGGACGTTACCCCGGACCTCGTTGACTGCTCAGTGCGCGCGTATATCGATAATATTATCAGAGAGCATTCTGAACTCTAGACAGAATAACAAAGGCAAAACGTCCACAGAAAAGGAGAAAAATGTACCTATGCCCGACAGCCTCGTTAGCTACAGCTAGCTTAGCTATCTTAGCAAACTAGCAGGCTTTGCTCCCTACAATACGGTCTGAGCCTAATGACAGTGCGGTTAGCCGACGTCCGGCGAGACCACGGAATGAAAAATCGGAAAACTTTTTGGCATAATAATGGTAGAACCAAACATTAGCGGTAATTGATGGTAAAAATGTGTGGTAGATATTTTGTTATAAATTTGCAACTAATGTGTATGGTTAAATTAAGACCTGAGTCACTAGTCTTATGAAAAATTTATGCACCAGCAGTCAATTCAGATGCAGCCAATGAGCGAAACTTGTCAGTTGCCAACCCATTGGGTCCAAGAACGACGGTCTCCTACCGGATCGAGATGTGCCGGGTCTCGGCCTGGACAGTTCCGCCCTGGACCCCCGCACGCCCGGGTATGGGCGAATGCCGCAGACCCGAGCAGCAGCGGCCCAGGCTGCTTTGTAGAGTCGCTTTCAGTGACTTCAAACGGGGCTGAGCCGCACATATCCGTAGATTAGTTCCAGTTTGTAGACTGAATGCTGCGTGACGAAATCACAAAATCGTTCATTAACTGTTGTGATCCGCAAAAGAAATAAAATATAAATAGCCAAGCCAATAGACGCAGCATGTTAGGATCATATGCCGACGGGAAAATCGGTTGCATAAAGTAAGGACGTCTGAACTAGAAACGGTGCGGTACGGTACGGGAAAAACGGCAGCCAAAAGAAAGAAACTTTGGTAATGATGTTCAGCTTGATAACTCAACACAACGCTAAAGCAATCATATAGGAGCCAATAATCAAACGGATATATACCTACAAAATGTATCACCATCTTGAGGCTATACGACCAGATAATGCAACCAAAACAGTCAAAACAAACATACCCAGCATTCTCTTGAAGCTATGCGCCAGCTTGCTGTGCCCACAGCTAAACTTCGGAAGCAGCAAGACAGAGACCCCCTAGACAAGCGCGGACAATGGACCAGTCTAGGCCTCGGCCTCTCTCCGCGCTGGAGGAGGCCTCCGCGGTCGACCGGGGCCTCCGGGCCGAGCCTCCGGGCCTCGCCTCACCTGTAGTCCTCCTCCGAGTACATCTGCGGGTGGTGCAGCGGCTGGCCGTGGTGCTGAGGATGGTGCATCTGCTGCTCCTGGGACCAGTAGTAGTGGGCTGCCGCCGCGTGCTGCTGCGCGTGCGACGGGTGCAGCTCCGCGTGGTGCTCGGGCCGCATTGCCGGGTGCATCTCAGGGTGCATCTCGGGGTGCATTTCAGGGTGCATCTCGGGGTGCATTACCTCTGACGGCTCCGGCGGCAGGTCGGCCCGCTCCTGCTGTAGCTCCTGCTGCGACTCCTGGCGGTGCAGCTCCTGGTGCTGAGGATGCTCCTGGTGATGCTGGTGATGCTCCTGATGCTGCTGATGATCTGGATGTAGCTCCTGGTGCTGCTGATGTTCTGGGTGCATCTCCTGGTGCTGTTGATGCTCTGGGTGCATCTCCTGATGTTGTTGATGTTCCGGGTGCATTTCCTGGTGCTGCGGATGCTCCTGATGCTGCTGATGCTCTCCGTGCAGCTGCTCGGTGTGCGGGTGCGGCTGGCTCTCCAGCGGCATGAAGCCGAACTCTGTGAGCGGCATCTGCCCGGTGGCCGGCACCGCGGCCCGCTCGTCGTAGAAGGCGTACATCTCCTGTCGGGCCGGCTCGGTGGCCGCCGCACACGCCATGGGTCTGTCTCCGGCCGGCGCCGTCAGAAACACCCCTCGCCGTCAGAAACACCCCTCGCCGTCAGACGCGACCCCTCACCGGTCACCCGCTCTGACCCCTCCGACCGCGGCGGTCCGCCGACTGGAGAGCCAAACTCACCTCAGCTGGGCCAGTCGGAAACAGTTTCAACCAAAACTGTTTTAGGTTTTTGCGACGGTGCCGCTTCCTGTGAGGATGCCCTCCGTTTCTTCCCTCTCAGAGTCCAAAGTTCAGCCGTGGTCCCCAACTAGGAAGCCTTGACCGCTCCAGTATTTCCCAGTCTGTCGTCACCGCCGCTCTCCGCCGTCGGTTACGATTCTCCCTCCAGGCACTGTGGTGTCACAGTTTCGTCACAGCTCCACCCACAGTCCCGACCTTCTCAAGCCGTCACACTTCCTCTGTGACTCACAGTGTCGGCAGCCGTCACGACCGTGACGCGTCGTCACACTGCTCCGTGACGCTCGCGACGCTCGCTGACCAGTGCCCACCCGGCGGCGGTTCCCGACTGAGTCCGCCCCAGGTGAGCTGAGAGACACACTGGCAGAGGCGCCAGTCAATAAGATAAGATAGTGGCCTGCCGATCCGCGCCTATCGGCCGCCCGCCGCGGATGGCCAGGCAAACAGAGCCGTCTGCCGGCCACAGAACGGACGGCCCATACATAGTCGCCGACTACGGGACGGCACATAGTCAGCATAGGCGGCACATACGAGGGATAACTGGGATGGGGCGGCTCTTAGTCGGCATGGCCGGCACATACCCGGGATAGGAGGGGGCACGTAGCCGGGATGGGGGCTCACTGTCGGTATGGGTGGCACACAGCCAGTATATAGGCGGCGCATACCGGGATAGGCGGTAGTCGGCACATACCCGAGATGGACGAAATACATACCTATACTCAGGACGGCCATTGCGACACATACTGGGATGGGATGCACATAGTCGGTATGGGTGGCATATAACCGAGATAGACGGCACAATAGTCAGGATGGGACACATACCCGGGATGGGGAGGCACATTCCCGAGATGGGGAGGCACATGCCCGGGATGGGGAGGCACATACCCGAGATGGGGAGGCACATACCCGGGATGGGGAGGAACATACCCGAAATGGGTAGGCACATACCATGGATGGGGAGGCACATACCCGAGATGGGGAGGCACATACCCGGGATGGGGAGGGACATGGGGTGAGAGGCACATACCCTGAACGGACGACATATACCCGGAGTTCCATGACACGGCTCGACACTCCGTGACCCACAGCACCACAGCACCCACACCCACAGCACAGTGGTGTTGTACTGTGTCGTACCGTACCGTGTTATACTTACCATGCCGTGTCGTACCATGTCGTGACGTATTGTACCATGATATACTACATCGTACCTCCCGTGTCACGGTGCATGTAATATGTCGCATTGTACCGTGTCGTACCGTGTCGTACCTCCCAGTATCATGTTGCATATACATACATACATATGTGTACTGTGTCCTACCGTGCTCACTTACTCACTTATGGGACGAACATCTGAGGCCAGAGAGGCGTCAAGGCTTCGGTAGCCTCTTAGCTGAAAGCTTGTAGTTACTGGTTGTTCATAATCAGTGCATGCCGACCTGGACAGTCAGATCCTCGTCACCGCTTCTCCAGGTCCCGAAGTTTCTCGGTCGGCCGTCTCCCCAGCTGGGCCGGTGGGTCTCCCCAGCTGGGCCTATGGGTCTCCTCAGCTAGGTCGGCAGGAGCTGACATGGTCTATCCACAGGAGCTCAGCTGGCCCAGCGTCACCCTTCCCCGCTGCTAACTGACTGAGCTCCCGGCTGACTGAGTGGGCCTTCAGCTGAGACAGAGCTATAGATCGAGACTCTTATCTTTTCGGGTCCCCTGCTGATCAGGGGCTGGGGAGGGGGCGAGTTCTGTGGGCACCGACTCGTATGTCGCAACACCCAACGGCCAACAGCGGGCTGGACGGAGGGGAGGAGACTGGGGTCTGGGAGTCATGATAAGCGAGGGATCTCTGGAATGATCCTGATTGTGTCATCTTTGTAGTGGCTGTGAAGAAAAAAAAGATCGTGTCCGTCATAGCCGACCATAGTAGTGCGTTAATCTTAGTTTAACGTTATATACCTTGATTTCATCATTTTGTTTTATCTTCTTTAAGCTATTTTATCATGTTTTTCATTTAATCTAACTTACTATTCAAACAGAATCCGTCTGTGAGTCTGTGAGTCTGTGTGTCCGCACATCGTGTAGTGGGTTCAATTAACCCCGCCCACAGGGCAGACGGTATGTCGTAGGAAGTTGAAAGTTGCACACCTTATAGGTGACAGAGCGGGTCAGCGCCTTTTCTAGGTTTCGGCTCGCTGGGGTGCACGGTTCGCGCGTGGGGCGCGCTGGAAGAACGCCAATGAAATTTTGATCGGTTCGTAGATCTTCATTGAGAGCCGGGGTCGACAAACTTTGTGGACTAAATGCATGCCGATCGGTGGCGGGTGCCTCGCATTGGCGGATGGGCAAGTTTTTAATTTGAATGAAAAGTGGCGAGATAATGTATAGATTATAAAAATGCACCGTGAAAGGTGACCAAGTATAAAAATGCACCGTGTTTGCCGCAATGCGTCACATTGGTGACAACTGGCGTCATTTTTGCCGCAAATCGCACAGTTTTGTCAAATATGGTCCGATAAGGGTACAATTTGTTGCCAGGATACATGCTCAGCCAACAGGTTCAGATGCGCCGCGTTTGTCGCAATGCGCCACATATGCCACAAAGCGCCATTTCCGACAAATACGATTAAGCGTAATGGAATGGCACGAATAGGGGCAGGGCTGGGAACACTTTAAGTCTGATATTTAAGTACTGATTGGATCCAATTATTCTGTGACCTGACATGACCCGGCGGTGTTGGTAGGGGGGTAGGGGTAGGGGTAGGGGTAGGGGTAGGGGTAGGGGTAGGGGTAGGGGTAGTGGTAGGGGTAGTGGTACGAGTAGTAGTAGGGGTAGGGGTAGGGGTAGTAGTAGGGGTAGTAGTAGGGGTAGTGGTAGGGTAGTGGTAGGGGTAGTGGTAGGGGTAGTGGTAGGGTTAGGAGTATGGGTAGTAGTAGTGGTAGTGGTAGGGGTAGTGGTAGTGGTAGTGGTAGATGTAGTGGTAGGGGTAGGGGTAGGGGTAGTAGTAGGAGTAGTGGTAGGGGTAGTGGTAGGGGTAGTGGTAGAGGTAGGAGTAGTGGTAGGGGTAGGGGTAGGGGTAGTGGTGGAGGCAAAAGTAGAACAGTGGCCCGGGCTGATCCGATCGGACGAGAGGCGACCTATGTGACCTGGCCTGACCTAAAGTGACCGGGGCTGACCCCTTTGGCCCATCTTGACCCCGTATCAGCGAAATTTCATCCAACAAAGCCCCCAGAACAGCTCTTTTTTTCTCTTCACATTTCCGTCCATATCTATGCTTCTAGCCAACATATCGATTTGAAACGAACACCATTCGAAAGCAAATTGGCTGGTGCCGCAATTTTTTCCTACCACGCAGCAAAGCAAGTGGCGCAGCCGCTTGTCTATATTACTATTTGAGGAGGGTGCGTCTGTCCGTTACCGAGGTCCCGACTTGGTCGTGCTTTGCGTGGACTACAGGCCAGACCGGTGCACCTAGCCCGGTGAAATTTGCACAACTTATAGATCAAGGATGCGTGACGTGCCTTTGAGGGGTCTCAGCTCGATCGGATTGATAGGGAGCGCGTGGCGCGTGCTCAAAAAGTGCAAATTCGCGTCATAGACTTTACATGTATAAATCGGCGTGCGAAATCGGGCGAAAACGGCTAATTTTGGCCGACACGGGTCCAGTTCCCGTGCAATATCTTGGTGACCAGGGGTCCGACCGGCACGGGGAAAACAGCATCGTGTACAGAATTGAACGGGCTATTGAATGGTGTGCAATGCAGAGGATAGCACGCGCCACGTGCACCGGAGAGGGCACTTTTATTTGAAAAATTGCGGTTTTTGAGGGATTTTGGAATTGATTTTATTTTTAGGTGACCGTTAAATGGAGCGAGTTGAATCAACGCCTATTTGCAAGAGAAAGGTACCGCCTCTCATATAAAAATTGTGAAAAGCTGATTGATCCAAATCAAGGTGGTGCAAATCACAGGAGAAAATGGTGTTTGTCAATTTTGTGCCACTTTATTAATCACACGGGGTTTGCTGCATAACCTGATACCTTTGGCAATTGAATATGGTACCATTGGATAGAGCATTCAATTCTGTCCAATATTCACTCTTCATTTTTGCATGATTAGCAACAGTATCCTTAAAAATGTAAATGTTCCAAACCATTACATTGTCATTTTTAGCGAAATTCATCGATGGCCCTCAAAAGACTTCGCGCCAGTTTTCGAATCATTCTAAAGTAGAACGCATGATAATACGACACGGGCACCTCGATGCGATGTATCTTTTTGTTTTCTTACAAAATGCTTGGCCGTCAAAAAGCAATCGAACGAAATGGATATCTATCAACCAAATCGACACAGACCAACCCAATACCCACGGGTAAAAAATCCCCCCTTCGCGTTGCGGAGCACGCGGGTAACCCTAGTCATATACCATTTAATGAAGTTTATTTATCATTATCAGTTTCATTGCTCTGCCCTGAGCCGCAATATGAGCATTTTGCGCAAATCAATGTGAAAAGTCAGTTAAAGAAATAAAGTGAAATTAAAATGTCTTTGCTAATGTTTACTAATAGATACGCAAAACAAATAAATCGAAAACCAATTGTGCCTGTACGGTTGTGCCGTCCAATTTTAGCGACTAATTTGACGTGTTTACTGCTCGGCTGAATTTATGATGCGGTGCCCCGTTATAAGGTTACTCGCTGAATATTACGGCTCCGGTAAACTGGTAAATCACTAATGCCTTGACACCGAGCCACGATACTGAAGTTTGCTCTAGAACTGAATCGAGCCCATGACCAGCTGATAAAGACGAGACACGTTTTTATCACCGGAACACCAGAAATCCTATAGAGGGAGGTAATCAAAGGTCACTTTATATTCCAACAAGCCATCCCATCCCGTAAACGTTTCCTGAAAAAAAAAATGCAAGATTAAAACCTGACGATTCTGGTTCAGCCATGGTTAACGCCCGATTGCAGAATGCCATCCTAGACTCCAATTCTGTCCGCTTTACTATGCTCAAGTGATAGCAGGATTAGTCGATGAATGCATCGGTCGTTCCCCCGACTCTATCTTTATTTGAGTTGAAACGCACATATCAACTCACCGTCAAGCTCATATCACACATGACACTAATGCCATAAATCAAAACATATCGCTTCGCTATGCAATGCGTCATTCTTCCGTCATCATTAATTCCGTTTCCCTCTTTCTTTTCCTTTGCATTTCCCCCTTTCTATCGTCCAGTTAGTTCGTACCCGTTCGTTGGTGTTTGTAAATCCGTTAGACCTTTGTGTGATTCGTTATCGGGTCGTTCTGAAATACGCCGATGTGCGGCTGTTACGGAGTTTCTGCA